CTCCTTTCTTCCCTTTTCCTCCTAAATTAAATTTTCTCCTCCTTTTGGTATAAACTTTATTTCTTCAGAATTATACCAAAGTATTTATCAGAATCCAGTGATAAGAAGGAGACTTTAATTTGATCTCTAGTAGTAGATATCTATTCTATAATTATCTTTCGTATATGAAGACGATTTAATTAGGATTAACTGTGTTACAATATAAATAAGACTATATATCTCAATAGAAATAATGTTTGGCTTTGGTGGGCTTTTGAAACCGTTCAATACAATGCGTGTTTTGATACCTAAGGGCATTAGACTCTCTCATGTGCTATATTATGTTGAACGTGTACTAAGTACTCTTTCATTGTATACACTTGATATTCTAAGAGTTTATTTACAAAGAATACGTACAAATTTATCTCATCATTATAATGTACGTGAAACTAAATACATTCATCAAAATTGATCACTAAAAGTTTAAATTTAATGTTAAGAATGCGGTGAACAGCCTATTTCAAATGAAATACGCGATTTTTCATGAAATGTCTAAATATAAACACATATTCAATTCAATTGTACTTACAATTGTTTGCACCAAGTGTGCCCTATAAAAAACATTGGCGAAAATTGTTATCGAAACAGTCGACTTTTTATTTAAACATATTTTTCAGATTAAAGTACGAAATGACGAGATACGTAAAATACAAGCAGATTTAAATAATGTTGAACGTAATCAACAAGATTTACTCAAACGAATAAAAATGGAAACAGAATCAGTCGAAGCATCAGAATTGAAAAATTCAGAAGGACGAAGGTAGTTAAAGTTTCTCTATACTGTAGACAACATACATTTTTTCTTGTGTTATTTTCAGACACAAAATTCAGTTAGATATAAATCAGTATCGTACAAAATTGCAAGAACAACAACAACGAAATAAAAAAGCTGAATCCGATTTAAGACGAGAAAAATGGAGAAATGAAACGGGGTAAGTTGATAATGATCAATATTTGCTGTTTTTTGTTTAATAGGTTTTCGTATTTAGTTTGGAAACTTGGCTCACAAAATATGATAATGAAATGAGACAAAAACAGGTATGTTAACTATTTGATATGACTACCGACGGTTTTAAATTAAGAATATTTCTTCTTTTTCAAGGATGAATATGATGAAATTGAAGCACAATATACTGAAGAAAAACGTTTACTGATGGAGTTAGAAGAAAGATTTGACAAATTGAAAACCGAATATCTACAGGTTTGTTTTTTATCTTTTTTCATAAATATCTGAGAAATTATCTGATGTTTCTGTTTTCATATAGATAATGGCTGAACGAGCAGCTGAAGAAGAACGTTTGGCCGCTGAAAAAGCATTACGTGAACGTCGATGGAGAGCTGCTGGTAATATTCAACGATTTTGGAATGGTTTTAAAGTTCGAAAAGGTCTCAAAATTAAAAAGAAGAAAAAAGGAAAAAAAGGAAAATCAAAATAATAACAATGCGATAATGAATCTTATTTTTGAAAATTTTTGTTTAGTTTTGATATATGTATGTATTTTAATTCATTTTTTTCTTTTTGTATGTTGTCGAGAAGCAATAAATAAAAGACTTTCAGATCCCTTCGCACCGAGATGAGGTACACCTTTAGCCTTTTAATCGTGTCTTAAAAAAACTCCATAAAATTCTCTTAAAAAGTACATCATACTCTGAAAAACTTGAATAATCGAACATCCCTTTTATTTCGTAGTCTATCAACCTGTTTATCTTGTGGACAATACACATAGAAGTATCAGCCGATCATTTACGGCGGCGGCTGGCTAAAACATTTTTCCGATCGACGGCAGGAACTGGAAGCATCTGAAAATCTTTTCGCCTTCGGTGGCTGAACGTCGTTTTTTAAGATGATAGTAATCAAAAATCAAGCAAAATTTTTTCCATTTTTTCTGATTTGGTTGGATACAGCTCTGAAAAAAAAGGGTACAGACAGAACTTTTTAAGGGTTCTTTCGTTAGGTCTCACGCCGAGCCCTCAAAAAGGTTCTGTCCAAAAGGTTTGGTATGGAACCGTCATATTTCTCCGGAAAATACGTTCCGTCTACGAAATAAGGTTCAGTATTAAGTATTTATAGTACATTTGACAGAGTGTAAATGTTAAGCCATCAGCTAGTTGCTTTATCTACTCACAACAAGTAAAGTTTATGTATGACGTTGGAAACAAATGATAAATAATATTTTACACAAGGGTCAGAGAAGAGTTGAATTTCTGATAATAATGATCAGCGCGTCAGAATAAGATACCTATTGTTTCTTTGGTAAAGAATGATGAACTAAGCTCATGGTTTCATGTACCGTCCGAATTACAAAGAACTTAAGATCGACAAGTCTTCGTCAGACAAAATCAAAGAATCCTCATTGGTTTTAAAAAAAAATTTTTCCTTGAGCATACGGCACAAAACACCAGTAAGTTCGATCTAAACCGAAGATAAACGGGATTTTTCGAAATTTTCTCTTTCAGTGGAGTCTTAGCTTAGCTACAATCTTTTCCTGAAAAATTTTCAGATATACCATTATTAGTTGGCTGTCGAGATAATTTTTCTACATTTGATGCTTAAAGAGAAACGTGCTTTACGACTTTTTCTATTAACGTAGCATTTCAACCAAAATTAAGTAGTTACCTAGAATTTCAATCGATTTTTTTACCAAATGAAGTATCAGATAAGGTATCGAGATGTGAAAGGTTTTTTGTAACTGAGTTCTCCACATAATCAATTTAGATATGCCAGCTAAATGTGGCTGGAAATTATAATTTAACAGTCAAATGGTGAAACTTATTCCTAATCCCATCAAGACTCCACGGTTATCGCTAAGACAATACATCTAAGACCGACAGTTTTTCTTGTCATCAAATGCATATAAGCAATTAACTCAGCTACTAAAAAACAAAGCGCAGAAAGAAAGTTCAGTAATAGCCAGGACAGCAAACACAGCAATTATAAGTTCATCCTCTTCATTTTTCTCTAGTTTCTCACCCAAGACGAATAATGTGCAGTGAAACCATCTGGAGTTTAAGATGGCATTAAAATTTTCTTTTTATAAACATCACATACGATACGTTTAAAGTGTAGAGTGTTGTTCACAAAACTAATCGAGCTCACGACTGAAACAAAATCACACGTTCAGCTCGAGACGATTTTAAATTTTTAACCTGTTATTTACTCCGCGCGAAATAATAGCTCGGCGCTCTCTGCTGTACTAATCTAGACATCTACAGCCTATTAACCTTTGGTATATGGATGCATCCTTTTCTTTTAGATAGTAGCCTTATTTATATTGTAACACAGTTAATTCTAATTAAATCGTCTTCGTATACAAAAGATAATTATAGAATAGATATCTACTACTAGAGATCAAATTAAAGTCTTCTTCTTATCACTGGATTCTGATAAATACTTTGATATAATTCTGAAGAAATAAAGTTTATACCAAAAGGAGGAGAAAATTTAATTTAGGAGGAAAAGGGAAGAAAGGAGGACGAGTATGATACAAGAGTTGAAACTTATATTCAAAAACTATAGAATTTTGTCAATTTTCTACTCTCTCCATTTGTGAACAAACGGATACTCGATGGTGGTCATCAATTAAAACAAGTGCTTAAAGAGTTAACATCTATTTAGAGTTTGATGTCACAGAGAGGCACTCTTTAAACTCGATAGTTTTAGGAACGTAATCATATCTTAAACAATTGTTGGTTGGTCGTTATCTTTGAAAACAAGAAACTAGGAGTTTTTGCCAGATTATAATTCTACAATCTTCATCCATCTAAGATGTCAGAAGTATGATAAGCTCTTCAAATTTATTTGATGATGCGATGATAAGTTCTTGGAGATCGATGGTAGTCGGATGTCTGTTGTTCTGTTTTTTGATAGAGAAGAAAACAAACATCGTAGAAAAGTATTAGAAGCAGTTTATTCAATAGTAAATAAATCATATAATAATAAACGGATGATATGCAATCAATGGAAAGCTAGTATCAGTAAATGGATAGGGGAAAAATCAGGTAGTCTTTTCAGAACAAAAACAATAAATTCAAATAATAATAGTCAC